AAAAGTCATCTTATATATTCGATCAAGTGCTCTCATCTCTTCCAAACAAGTCATTAGTTGAAGGGTAGTCAAAATAAATGATATTCAACGGTTAAATTGCTAAATTATAGCTTGCTTTGAGTATTTTTCATTGGCTTGGATCGGTTTGAACTGAACCAAACCGAATCGAACCAGAACTAAGGGTGTAGGTGTAGGTGTGGGTGTAAATATTCACTTCAGGTAAATCCACTCACATCCTCTTTGTTCTCATTTGTATGAAAAAGACCAGAAATTTTGTGATGCCTTACATGTCGTTTGAAGAAACTGATGCAGAAGATAGAGGTAACGCATTGAGTGATGTGACTGCTTTGAATGATGATTTTGCAAAAAATGCAATTTGAATCTTTAACCTTTGAGGAAGAAGATCTTTACTTCTTGGTATGTCATTTGAGAAGCTGATATCTGAACCGAGATAACAGTCAGCAAGCCATTGGAAGTGCAAACTCGGTGATTAAATCACAAGCTTGAAGAAAAGGAAGGATTTGCGCGCACTGTGTGAAGATGATGTGCTGGCTGGTATGAGAAAAGCACGGACTAACAATCAAGAGAAGCGAGCTATGTGACAGTAAAGAAGATAAAAACCTTCTGTTCTGATTGTGACAATTTTTTGTCTTGATCGTTTTAAGAAGAATTATCGCAGTATGCAATAGATGATTAAATAACAGCAGAGGCAGAGCAGATGACACATTTTGTGTGACCTCCTGGCTAAGAAGAAAGATTAAAAAAAAAAGTTTTTTCTATTAAGTTTCTCGTTAAAATAAAGTGGGACCCACCAATGGGTCCTATCGGAGCGAATGTGTTAATCCGGATCGAAGCGCATCGTGGTGCTTCGTCGGTAACTCATACCAGATCTACGTAATTTTTTCATGATGGTTGGATCGTCCGAATATTCGTCGTTACCCAAATATCCTTGATGACATTGTCCATCACAACCCACTCCTTCTTTGTGATATTCATTGTGAAATGAGCAGTAGTCACCGATATGTTTTCGAATTCTTAAAGGTATTATTTTAAATGAATATCGCACACTATAAGTTGGCATGACAGCACAATTATTGAATATCAAAAGATAATTCGTTGGGGCAATATAATAATCACGGTTAAGTAATACTGTATCATAACCTGTTGCTATTACCCATTCGCGATGTGTAACATTACCTTTGCCGAGAGTCTCTTGATCAAAAGTTTCTTCATCTGTTGTATGACCACGATCTAGTTTCGCCATTATTGTACATCGTTCGTACGTATTTTTTCCTAACTGTGATACACCATTGAAAGTATGGCAGACAAAACTTTGGTCTGCAAAATAAATGGCATCACCCCAACATATATGTGGGGGGGTATCTGTGCGTGAATACTCTTTTTTAAACCCGTCTTGAACAATCTTGCATAGACTACAACTTTGAGACATGCAATCACCATTGCTACATTTGGCTGAAATACCATGCCATCCAATACATTCTTCTGTTGCAAATTTTGCGTTAGAACGTACAAATTGTTGATAACGTGATTCAAGTGATAGATTGTTAATCTTATGAATTGCATTGACTCGTATTTGAGATCTCAATCCATTCGGCCATCCATCCAAAAACTTGTGGGGTGTGGGTGTGGATGTGGATGGTATGAGTGGGCGTGGGCGTGTGCGTGTGTGGGTGTGGATGTGAGTGTTCTCATTATGCACACACACACCCACACCCTAAGAGTTCAAAATAACAAGCAGTTTGATGAGCTGAGGATGTCTACTATTATTTTTTTTTAATGAGAGTTGAAGAATTTGAACTGTCGCTTTTGTCTCGTTGCTGTTTTTGTTTTTTCGTTTTCATGTTTATCATCGAGCTTTTTCTTTTATTTTTTTTTCTTGTGTAAATTTTGAAGTTGTATAATTGATATTTTTCTATTTTCGAACCAAAACTAATTATATTAATAATATATTTACTAAATATTGAATTTCATAGTTCATATAGCTCGGTTTCAGGGTCAGATGTGGGGTGGATATGCGGACTGCGAACGTGAAAAGAGAACAGAATTGACATCCACACTCTTGCAGCATATTTTTTTCTGTGATCAACATTTTGTGAGGCATGCACATACACATTCAACAGTGCTGATTCGGAAGAAGCAGCGCGTAGTTGGAGTATTGACACTTAAAATCAAGGCTGCTTCTTCCTACCTATTTCATTTTTCAGTCGATTGAAACCTTTTAAATGAAATTGAAGTAAACACAGTAACCAATTTCATTTCTTTGGTAAAAGAACGACACTTACTTTTTCTTTTTCATCTCAACTCTCTACAGCAATCTTCATACACCAGCGAGAAAAAAAAATTCATTTTTACATAAGATGCCTGTCTTTTTTTTCAGAGTGTTACTAGGACACTGAAAAAAACAGAAATCTTGTGACATAGTTGCTTTTTTCATTCAAAGTTTTATGATATGATTTTTCCAGTAGAAATGTACTGATACTTCTGAACGTAGAAGATTTGAAAGAGCGACTTCCATATTACTTTGTCGTCACATTTGATTAGACACCTTCTGGTGATTGATAAGATTTGAGAAATTCATTTTTGATATGTTTGCTGTTCAACTGAAATCATCCTACTTCAAAGATCTTTCTCTCTTTTACACTGTCGCTAACAAGTACGTCTATTACAATAGGTTTACGTCTTATGAGGAAAAAAATGAAATAACTAGATTTATCGTTTAAGCCATCAGTGCTTGGGGACGAAAAATTTTTTCATTCGAATTAAAAGGCAGAAGTTCCAAAAAAATATCCATCGTCGTCTAAAGTCTACCTTCTGGTATGGGTCTTCTCTAGACAAAAACACTTAGGCTCATCATTCTCACATCCTCTTGCTCTGTTTGATCTGTGAAGCTCATTTATTTCTGTCCCATTGTCTTTTACTTCCTTAACTAAGAAGAAGTATTTTCTCGTCAATCGCCATAGTGAATGTGAGCTTGGGTATGGTGTACTGTGGCTGTGCATCTTTTCTTCACTCACCCAACCATCTTGAATATAGCCTAGTAGCATGTTTGATCTGTAATTAACATTCTATGTAAAACACACATACACAATTAACAGTGCTGATTCGAAAGAAGCAACACGTAGTCGGAGTATGGGCACTTAAAATCAAGGCTGCTTCTTCTTACCTACTTCATTTTTCAGTTGATTGAAACCTTTTAAATTATATTGAAGTAAACAAAGCAACTACTCTCATTTGTTTGGTGAATGAACAACACTTACTTTTTCTTTTCCATCTCAACTCTCTACAGCAATTTTTATATACCAGGTAGAAAAAGAAATTCATTTTCACATAAGATGTTTGTCTTTCTTTTCAGAATGTTACTAAAACACAAAAAAAACAGAAGTTGTGTTGCTTAGTTGTTTTTTTTCTTCCGAATTCAATGACATAATTGTTTGAGTAGAGAGATGGTTCATGCATATGCTTTTAAGGGTATTTAAAAGAGTGATTCGAATTTGTTTCTTCGTTGAACTTGATCAGAAAGCTAGTTGTAATTGGTAAGATTTGAGAAATTCATTTCGACGGTCTCGCTTTTCCATTGAAATCATAACACTTCATACATAGTTTGATATTTTCCTTGTTTATACAATTTCTAACAAGTAGATTTTTGGAATAGGTTTTGAGGGCTATAAAGAAAAAAAATGAAACAAGCAGATTTATTGTTAAATATATCTGTGTTTGAGGCAGAAAAAATTTCTCGTTTGAATTAACAAAAATAAACTCGAAGAATTCATCTATCATCGATCGTTTTCTATCTTTCCTAACTTACAATTAAAGACTTCATGAGTATGCGTTCAAATCCGTCCAAATAGATGAAAGAAATGATGATTTTTTTGTGTGTGAATGTTTATGTAACATCTTAGATATTGGGAAGACTGAAACATATTCGATGACTCATAAGAGTAAATAAAAACATATTTCACCGAATGTTTCCCAGAATGAACAAACTTGATTGAACATCTGATGATTTTGTTTTTTGTTGAAGATCTCATCACCAAAATGCACTACAAATATCGAAATTACAAACTTGAACAGATTGTCGCTAACTTGGACCAAAATACAGAATTGGAATTGAAATACAAAAAGTTAACTGCTCAAGACATGGAAATTTCAGCCAAACCATTGCGAAAGAATAAAGTAAGTAACGTTTTGTTCATTAATCAAGTTTTTGTGGTTAGCTGAAGGTTTTGCCTGTCTACTCTTATCATCCTACCATGAGAATCAGCAACTTGTTTGGTAGACGATGAAGTAAGCACTCTTGGGACGTAAAAGGGAGAGGAGTGTGAGATGTCTAATTTAAAGTTGTTCTATATCTATTCGGTTCTGTATTGAATGCAATTTTTGATACGCATCTTTTCTTCAGCTTTACAGCAGCAACTGATACTACGTAAAATTCCACATTGTCGTACTTAAACGTATTCTTTATACTTTTTTTTTTATCTCATACTTTTTTTTACGGTGCTGTCGATTCCTCTGAAAGTTGTACTGGACTTTGCCAAAATGCTCTTTCAGACCTGTCTGGAGTCCAGAAGAAATTCGTTTTATATAAATTCAATAACTTCATACAAACTATTGACATACAGTGGTAGCCAAAAATACATACCGGTAGCTTGGATCGTAGCCATTATCCATTTTCAATGTCTGAAAACTGTTGCGTATATACAGTACTTAAAAACTTGGTAGGCAAGACTAGGCTCACTCAGATTGTTTGACTAGCTATCCAGTTAAGATTGATAGTATATCATTTTGAACTGAGATATAAGAATTTTGAAGGAAAGAGCTGTGAGTCAGTCGATCCACATGATGTAGTCCCATGTCATAGTTCTGTATATCACAAATTCAGTTCAAACTTATCAAACTGGTAAAGAAACTAAAACAATTTTTGTACTATCATTCGTACACAACAGAGATGTGTACCACCTCTTACGACATACAGGACTCATTTTTGAGTGAACACTCTTTTTTATCTCTTTTATTTAATCACCAAGAGAGGGGAAGGCGAGTATTAATATGCATCGCACTCAAAAAAGTTTTGATTTGTGTTTAGTTCAATAAGTTTCACTTTGAATTTGATACTAAAAGTAATCGAATAATTCAGGTTTGAGTAGCGTTTCACTTCCACTTCAGTTACTTTCTTCGAGGATGTTTGGGTTCGAATTCAACTCAATTGCAATTCTTCTACTAGAATGGGCTTGGGTAGAACTGAAAATGACTTGAATAGGAATTGGAAAGTTCTGGGAAGAAAATAACATAAGCAGAGGTGATTCTAAGCTCAAACTTGAATTATTCAATCACTGTTAGTACTGAATCTAAACTAAACTTCCGAAGCATTTCGGTTTCAGTATGGTGTATATCTAGCTGTACTTAAATCATTCAAACTGTTTAACTTCATTATTAGGAATTTTCAAAGAAAGAAAGTACATAAAATACTGAAGTTCTAAAATAAACGATTGACATCCAAGAGCTTCTGACAACTTTGGTTAAAATCTATAAAAAAAAGTCTGCAGATTGATTGATGTTTCTGATTTTGTAACGACGTTTAGCTGTACAACTTTGCATTAATGCATCCTTATAGTTTCAATTATTTATGTAATTTATTTTCATCATATAAAATAGTAATAAATTCTTGCACGAGATAACAAATTACAACGAAGAAATCATAATCGTAAAAATTTTTTATTAGACTATAACTTAAATTAAAACAAGTCTTTGACTCATATCAGTTCTGTTTCATATTGTCAAAAAATGCAGAATGGTTACTAAAGCAAGAAAAGAAATGCTGTCCGTGGCGTCAAAAACATGAAAAAAAAGTGACATATCCAATGATAAAACGGACAAAAAGATTGATATTCTCCGAATTCACCAATGAAAGGCAACATTTTAATTAAGCAAATGTAGTAAATTTTACTTTTAAACAAAAGTATGCAATGAGATTGATGACTCTGTTTATTTTCATTAATGAATTCGAAATATGCCAATTTTTTTAAATACATTTCATCATTTTAATGGTAGTTTTTTTATTTTTTGACTCAGTGAACGTAAAATGATGAGATAAAAGAAAGTATAGAACGAAAACATAGACAGTCTATAATACTTACAAAAATGAGCAAGGACACCTACATTTGGCAATCAACTTTTGCAAATAGCACGGTTGCAAAATTTATCATCCAATTGTTTTCAATCTAAAAAAAATCATCTGTTATTCAC